GCGCACCACCAGTGGGCTCGGGCTGTGGGACATACACGTCCATTATCGATAGTTTGTTTTTCCGTCTCTCTGCCTTCACGCACGGGAACTTACGACCAAAATTTCAATAATTCATATATAGTCATATCAGCAAAAAGCAATTTCGAGCATCCCGTTCCAACGTATGGGACCTGAGCGACATCCGGATGGTTCGAGCTACTGTACAACTGCCGGTGTCCCGTGACCGGGTGGTCCGGTTTCCGCTGAGAGGGCGAGAGGGACGCAGGTTGAAGACGGGAGGCAGAGACACATGGAGCATGGACGTGTACAGCGAAACGAGAATACTTCTCTGTGAGAGATCCAGAGAGCTCCCGGAATTGCAGTGCTGAGACACTTCTTCTCAACGGAGGGCGGAGGACTGTGCCCGGTATTGGTTGACAACAGAGCTCGAGAACTCGAACTACACATCCATTCCTCTCGCTTACTGCGCCAGAGGCAATCTTGTCCCCCATGGCACAGGCGAATTCATATCGAAAACAACTCCTATGGAAAACAACCAATCCACCTCTTTAAAAGGCAGCAGGTTGTTGGCTTGATTGAAAGAGGTGGGTTGTTAGGCTTGCGCATGAGCTGCATGGAGTCAGAATACCGTAACGCGGGCGTCTTTCCTCTATGACTTGAGATAGACATGACGGCAGTGCGGAGAACAACAACGCACGAAAAAAAAAAGGAAAATATATATATATCGCGGGGGAGGCAGCTGACCAGGTTCAAAGAAATGACGGCAGCAGCGACTCCTGGAAGCATTTCAATTTCGAGAATAGACTATACGTCAAACACCGTGCAAGACGCCAAACCTACAGCAAGGGGTGATCAAGGTGGAGCGTCTCTCCTGAGAGGGAAAAGGGAAAACGTAAACCCAAATGCGCTAAATATACACCATACCAATACCTGCTTTCAATCTTTTGAGGGGTTGAAAGGTGAGGTTCAATTGGACCTCCTCCCCAAGGAGAGACAGCGGGCACACTCTGGCTCCCACCCTTCGGATAAGGAGTATTTTTGGAGAAGAGGAAACAGCAAGGCATCGCAATGTCGCCCAAAACAAAAACGTGGCGTCGCAAGCAGCTTCGATACAAAACCTCTTCACGGAAAAAAAAAGGGACAATGGGAGCGCTAGATGCGCTCAATCAAAACACCCAATGCCGCACACGGGCATCATCACGAATACAGTACGGCCAAACTCTAAACTGTTTTAACTCGACGTTACATAGTCTATCTCGCCTGAACGCCGCGGCCATGGATGAAGCCCCGGGCGAATCTCCGGCAGAAGCTCGTCCGACTGCGCTACTCGCCATTTCTCCTTCAAGTGTAGACCGCATTGGACAACGGAACCGGGGGGGGCATGCAAGGGGTCGGCGGTCAGGCACATGGTCTTGGATACGGGGAGCTTTGCGTGGAAGCTCCTTGACATCTCTACAGTATCTTTGTGATGAAAAGATCGCCGGACATGCCTGGCGTCTCTATCTCAGCAGAAAACAAATGGGCGCGCCAGGCATTGAAGAAATCAAGATTGGGTGGCTGCCAGCCGCTTCACACACCAAGACACCAGCGCTTGCAGCCGAAACCACACAGCTAGCTGGACCGGCTAAAGCATGCATTAACCACCCACGACATGCTGTGCAAACCGGGTGAACTCGAGCAACACCACGGCCAAGCACAACACCAAGGAAGTCCCCACCCAACGATCGTGTCTGGTCCGATGCATTGCTGTTCACAATAAAGGGCAACCGCCGTTGCACCCAAGGGCGATACTGTACATGGCCATGCATTCAAACACGGACCATCAAGCCGGCATGAGAGAACAAAGATATCCGAAGAGAATGTTGTCGCTGCCGCGCATGTAGACTGCTGCTGCGGTTGACCTTACTTCCTTCCAGATTGCCTAGACCGTACCTCTCTTTCACCAGTCCTGCCCAACCTGGATGTCTTACCTCCTCTGTCTCTTTTTTGTGGACAACAAAGATAGATGGCGGCGGTGAAGCGAGGTGAGTCTGGGCTGCTGCTGCTGCTGCTACTGCTGCTGGGAAGGTAGGATATCTTTACTATGCAGGTGGGGGCGAAAAAAGGCCGCTCGCTTACCTGCTGGTGTTGACGCTGGGGTTGGCGCTGCTGAGAACAGAGGGGACGAGTAGAAGTGTGGTGGGTGGGGGAAGGGAAGGAGCGCGCGTTGCTCGGATCAACCATCAACCATGAACACTCCGGGGGGGCGGCGCAAAGGACACAGATATAGAAGCCTATACCCTCCCTCTATATAGGCACGCGGCCCCTGGATCAGCTGCTTTTTTTACTCCAACGCTTGTCTCTCTGCTTCTCTCCCGCGGATATAGAATCCCACGTTCACCTCCATCCACTAGAGAGAGGGAGACGAGAGAGAGACGCTGCTGGGTGTGCTGAGCAATCCAGAGTGCAACATGTGTCGCATGCTTGCCGCCATACCATTCGGCTTTTGCAGACCCACACTTCACTGTGGCTAGAGCTCACCCTGGATCGTGGATTTGCGAGCAGCAGGGAGGATGCCGGCCGGGACACGGGCGGGTGCTCACAGCACAGCAGCTCCCACCGAAACCAACCCCGTTAAGAGTGGTGAGTGATTGGGTGATCGTATTGCGCTGGCTGCAACCTGCGAAAGAAACGCACTCTTGCCATGATATGTACTACTGCTGTAGGTTGATGCTTTGGGCCGCGCGCTTGGGTTTGAATTGAACACAAAATTAAAATTCGACGATTGATGCAACGATCACAGCAGTGGGATAGGGAAAGGAACAGCTCCATGCGACGCATTGGCCCTCGTTTCCACTCGGTCGTCCTGACTCTCGACTGCTCCTATCAGTCATGCTGCATTGCGGGCCAATCTCGTGTTTGATCGTGGCCAATGTAGACACAGCAGTAGTAACACGTGCTGGCTCTCTCACTTGTTTCCGCGGTGTGGCAAGGTTGGATTTTTTCATTTTTTCCTCTCTCATTTTTGAAATTTCCGGACGTGTAATCTATCTCATTTTTTGGTTCTCTCCGTGGTGTTGCAGCTCTTGTTAAATAGCTGGCTACTGGGTACTGGCTACATGCTACCCACATGGTTCTGCTTCGTGGTATGCATGACAACAAAACCTGGCACACGCGGAATAACTTTCTTGGTTGGTCAACCATCACCTGGTAACCGTGTGGTACCATACACCATACCGCGAGTAGGTTGCCAGGTGGGATGGAGCAAGCTGTTGGGCACGTTTCCTCCGCACGCACGACCTACCCATTTCGCGCGGAAAAATCGGAACAATTCGGGCAACGACCAAAACCCAACGCCACTCTGCTCTCATCTCCCCATGCAGCCTGGGGGATTGGACTCCCTTGTGTACACAACAATACTTCTGCTCTCTGCTCGGCTTTGTTCCCTCTGGTGGTGTAGTACCAGACCAAAGGTCTCCACAATACAACAACAGCTCCATCTGTCCAAGCCATCAAAAAGAGCCCATAAGTTCCTGCGTTCATGCATAGTCTATGTATGCGGAGACGAAAATGTTCCAGAGAGACCCAGCGCCCAGCGCCAAAAGCTATCACCGGAAAGTCGTGTTGGACCAATCACCGCTGCTGTGTTTGACAGGGGTGACAGAAGTGTTTCGGTCGCTGTGGTGGAGTATGTACAGACAGTCGTGTTTTGGTTTCATCAGCCAGCCCATTATTGTTCAGATGATCACCAACAACCACGAACCCTGCCTTTTTTGCGTCATACAATCGAACAGCAGCTGCCTCCCGTCCGATCTCTGGTCGACGTCCACGGCAGCAGTTGTGGAAGCTGCTACTACTTGCTCACCTCGATTTCATCTGTGGGCCGTTCGTGGATCCTGTGAAAGCAACGTTTTTTCATCTTTTCTTCGCCTCGTCACGGATTCATCAGCTTCTACGTTTTTCGTGCGGGAGTGCGAGGTGGTGGTGGTTGTTGTGGTGTACTGGAGTTGTCGTAGAACCGCGGCGGGATGCAAATGTACCGAGGAGGAACAAAGCCTCGGATGGAACCTTTCATTGGGCGTTTCTACGGGTGGTTTTCGGCGTTCTCTGACTTGTACGCGTGCCTCTCACTGCTACTTGTACTGCTGCATCGTTCTAGTTGATGTTTCTACGCTGTTGTAGTCTTTGTGCCTTTGCCTTACGTCCCTTTTGTCCTTTTCTTCGTGAACAACAGCACGCATACATTGTCATCGTGAGCAGGCATGATAAACAGCGGCTGCTGTACGGACGCACGTAACGCGCCAATCTTAATCTTCGTAGAGTTTCGGGGACCAGCGTCAGGCACGTAGCGGTTTGGATGGACGAAAGGAAGCAACGTAGACAACTAAATACGGTCACGCAAGCCAAGGCTACATACCTCCCTCCCACAACGCGATCCCACAACACGTACTCCGAAATTCTCAGTCAACCTTCATGTCCATCTGATCGGGATTCGGGACCCGGTAGGGTGGGATCCACAACAACACGCGTTGTGCATCTATCAATGCTAGCGGGCTGCTTAGACTACATCTACAGCTTCACCGGTAGGTTGCTTTAAAAATTCTGCTCCATCGAAGTGTCTCGAGGGTTCAACAAGGTAGGCATCGTTTCCGCCAAAGAGTGACCAATACGACGCCGGTTGCGTGCCCATCCTCAGTTCATGCGCTTACGATGCTCCTGTACTGCCATGCGGCCTCTACATAGCGCACAACATAAACAAGAGCCAAAACGATGGTTCGAGACAGAAAATCCAGAAAACGCTCATGGCAGGCCTTTCGCAATTCGGACAACCGGCGCGCCACGAGCCACCAAAGGGCCGCGCACCTTGTAAGACTACTTGACACGCTCAACACCACAACTTGCCGCACCTTGCGATACACAAACTCGTCGGACTACAGCAGTAGTAGGAAAGACCGCGACAGATTCCCGAGATACGCCAGCAGGCGAAGAGTGCGTGTACCCCATACGTACATGTATGCATACTACTTGCGATACCAAAGGCTTTTGAAGTTGAAGTAGAGAGAGAGCACACCGCGCTCGAACACACAGCGGTAACCTCGCTTGCGTCCAAACTCCCACTCTCGGTTGATGATCTGACGTTGGCAGCAGCATACGTGAGGGGAGGGAAAATAGAGTACGCGTTGTCACGATGTCTATGGGGCTGCACAACAACACCCACGAGTCTAGTCGTGTTGGAAGGCCTGTATTGTGGTACACTTCCTTTCGCTATCGACTAATAAATCGCTACAAGGAGGTATCCCAGAGGAACGCCCAGCCCCACGGACGGGCGTGGGACCCAAAAAAGAAAAATGACTTCCACGTTCATCGAAACAACCGACGAAGAGCCAACAAGGACATCTACACTGTACATGAAAAAACGCGCGTGGGCTTGAGGAATAGTCTAGATAGTCCAACTTATGTACCTTGAAAGCGATGTCTTCGTACGGAGGCCCGGCGTGGAATCGGAGGATGGCAAAGCCGGGGTGATCCGCCTTCTCCAAGAAATACTTGGGGGTATCCTCGCGATCGATCAGGTCTGGGTAGAACACGTTGAACTTGTAGCCCTGCGGCGAAAATTGTTGAAAGGGTAAAACGCGCGCAAGGATATTGTACAGCTTAGCCGCCACGAGGTTGGAATATAGAAGTATTTTGTTAAGATCAGACCCGAGAGCGAGAGAGCGAGCTGGTGCGGGTGAACAACAAGCGGCGGCACAAAAAAGCACGCGCCAGGCCTGTGGTGCCCGTTGTGTAGGTCCAAATATGTCCATACGGCATCATCCGCCCTACAGTACCTACCTACAGCATTCAGCGTGCACCGTGGCAGCTACAGCACGAAAGTAGCCAACACGGGAACCACGTGGTACACTGCTGTAGAGGGCTAGAGCGGCTCGCCGTGCATCGGACCCAAACACACCCGAGGAACTCCACCAACGGTCTTCTGCATCGACCAACCATCGTTCCATGGCCATGCACGCGCAACGCAGTGCCGGCGGTGCGATAGAGAGCGAATAAACAAAACTCAGACCATCAACTCGAGCGGTGCAGGTTCCGCAGGGTGCGAGAGACACATGCAGCGGCCCGCAGTCCGTCTCACCTGCACGGTCTTGGGTGGAGGGTTGTCGTGGTCGTAGTGCGTTTGGTTGTACTTGTTCCAGTCGTAACCCGTCTTGACCCGGTTGAAGTAGCGCGGCTTCCGGGGGCGGAACTTGTCGTGCCACCAGTACGTCTGGCGAAAAACGAAACAAGCAGTGCATACATCGATGGCCACGTCAGGTCTACAAGACAACCGAACGGGTCACTAGCAAGCATGAAAATGCGAGGCTGTTTTTTGTACAGTGTTGCGCCTTGCGCAAAAGGCGACCAATACACGGCCTGCCCCGTGCATCAAGGCCGTTTTCAAATAGCAACGGAAACCAGTGCACAAAACGAGGCAGCGAGGTGGTCTGTAAAGTCCTCACCTTCCCGCCCATGTCGACCTCGTCGGCCAAGTCCATGCCTTCTTCTTGGTCTCCCATTCCCTTGCTCTTCTCGTTGGCCAGCATGCCCTTCACAGTCCGGAAAATAGAACAACGCACGGCAGATACACGCGTCAAGACATGGCCTCACACGCATCACCAACAAACATAGCAGAGACGTATCGCACATGCACCCTGCTGGGCACACAGCAATGCAACTATTTTACTTGCAGAGATGCCTCCAAGGCAACAGAAACCTCAGAGCAAGACGTAATAAGCGTGTCGATACCATCTCCCGTCGCTGGCATGTCGGTATGTCGGTGGGTGCCAGCGTCCACAGTAGGAAGCGCATCATATTGGTTGTTTTGTCGTCAGAGGTTCAACTCAATCCCTCAGGAGAAGAGCGTTCCCGTGCTGTTTGTTAAATAACACAACCAATAACCTCTCCGTCTTGAAAGCTTTTCCGAATAACTCGCCATCGTCTGCACCAACGAGGAGAAGCCATCTCTCTCGACGTCCCACTATTTACCATGGCGAGGTCCTCAAAAATCAAGATGGCGCCAAGACCACGCCACAAGACTAGACTCTCAACCCCCCTGCCCTCCTCCCCCCCTTGTCTCAAGAAAGTAATCGGACAACTTACCATGGCCAGAGCGGATGAGTCTGCTGCGGTTGTCGCAATCGCCGGTCCCTTTCCTTCTTCCTCTGCCTCTTCCTCCTCTTCGTCTCCCTCCGCTCTGCTGGCGCGCTTGCTCTTCATGTTGTCCCGCATTTCTGAAAGATAAAATGGGATTGGATTGAATCAAAAAACAAATACCACCGGTTAGATGGGGACGGCATGCCCGTGCCCTCAAATGGCTCGCGATCATGAATCACACGCCATCAAACACTTCGCAGAAACTAAAACTTGGAAAGGAGACTGCAACGCACAAAGCAGCATCATCGCCACTCAACCATTAGTTACTCAGCACAAATCGCGAAAGCCAACGACCTTCCACCTTGATGGCAACAGCAGTTCAGCCAAATGTAGCTCTGGAAAACCCGAATAGTTTGGTGCGCCTAGTGCTATTAGCGATATTATAGAGAGGCCAGTGTTGACCACTGAGAAAACAAAAATCAACCTCATGCCAAGTAGCGGGAGAGTAGAGGGAGATAGTCTAGTCCTTGCTGATCTTCACGCCTACGACGTTCGCCGATTTTTTCTCACAAACGTTTGCTGTATTTTCGAAATTAGACTCTCCAGTTGTAATCATGTGCCATCGCCCCGCTCTGCCATTGTCACCCCAACTGCTGTTCACGCCTTTGCATACCTTCCAGCTTCTCCAGCTGAGCCTCCAGCATGACTTGGTGTACGTCGCGAAGCTTGGCCATCGCCTGCCGCATCAGGAAGACAAGCAGGAAGGAAAGGGGCCGTTCTCCGCTTGAGACCATCCGACACGAACCACCAACGTCTACGAGAAAAAGAAGAAAATAACACGCCTCGAAAAACACGCTCCGTAAAAAACCCGTCGGTCTCAAGGCCAGGCTCTCCCACGAGTGACCAGCCTTGCACCATTGACCCGTTGCGCAACACCAAGCGCCTGAGAGGGTCAAGTCAAGAGAACCCCTGCACCTGGAAAACGTGTAGCTCTTTCAGCACGGCCTCCCAGAACTCTGTATCCACCGAAGCCTCGCCGGAGTCCAGCTTGTCCTGGATCTTGGTCTTCTGTTCAGCCAACTCTTCCACGGTCTGGTTCTCGAACTTGGCCGTGACGTCGTCGATGACCGTCTGATCAGCGAACGGACCAACGCAGCAGCAACGAAAATCAGCCTGACAGAGAGAAACTCACGCAGGTACTGGTTGGGTTTAGAAGTACAGCGGAGCACCCACAACCAACGGCTGTGGGCCCAACAACCCGTAACCGTTCAGCAGCCGACACAGGACGCCAGTGTTGATGTCCTGCAAGCGACGTGCTCACAGGCACGATGTGAAAAAATTTACGAATCCACCACACACGCTCGTAGTAGTGGCCCACCTTATGCAGCCCCCCAGTCGCGACGCCCTCCTCGGTTTCCCCGAGAAGCTCCTTGGCCTTCGCCACCTTGTCGTCGCAAACAACCCCTAGAGAAAGCCAGAAGTCTCGATTCGGTCTGCCAAAACAATGCGACAATGCAAGGGTTGTCAAGATTCCGTAACGGTGGTACAGCCAGCGTTGCTCTACAAGCACCATACTGAACGGCACTCCGGGCAAACAGACAACGAAGTACGAAGAGGTAAGTCTAATCGAAAATTGCGCACAGCTGTATGCAGAAAGCGCCACCTCTCCATAACCTCATATTTTGGCCGAAGCCCGTTTCGAATTTCGTCGACGGGGTACCTACCCCCACGGCGACTGGAGAGGTTCAAGAGTAGGTTTCTTCGCTGAGCACCTGTTCTTTCGGCCAAGTTTTTAGATTGCGGACATTTTTCGGCGCAAGTTCTTAACTGCTGCAAGTTCTCAAGTGGTGGCGAGTTCTGTACACAATGTACGTCGAGCGTTCGTGGCAGTGTGTGTCCTGTGCGAATTCCTAGCCCCGACAGCACGGGAGGATATGTATTGAAACACCAACAAGACGGGCACCAGCAACGGGAGTCGAGACATGACGCGATGCGCGAGAGGATGGAGGCTTGGTGCCGTACTGCGATGTAGTGTTCTCCATCCATCCATCCATCCACCCACCCACCCGTTCTCCCCGACGAGCTCTTGGTACTGCAGGATCTCCGTCTGTAGCTGCTCGAGCTCCTCCAAGGTCAAGCCATCGAACAACTGCAGAGGAACCACAAGATAGTGCGCACCAGAACACGAGCAGGAAACACGATAGCAACAACTGTGAGACAGACGCGATCAACGCAGCGCACACACCGACTAGACGGGACTGGAAAGTACGTCGCCATTTTCGTACGACATTCACCGCGGTCACTCTCGCAAACGAAGCAGCTCAAGCATGATGTTCCACTTATCGACTTTGTGGTTCTTCCGTCTATCTACTTGCAACGGTGGCAGCGCTGATCCACAAAACATACCTTGTATGGCTCTCTGAGCTCCATCTCCAAGCCGGTAACGTCCACGTCTCCCTTCCCGCCGTACTTGATGCCCACCTGTACAGACCGACGTCGCCATGCATAGGGTGGAGAGAGGTCGGGTTTAGCGAAGATGTAACACAATGAACGGTGGCACTCGCACAATCCAAAGTGCCCTTTCATGAAAAAAGTGGTTCGATCAACGTGCTCCAACATAGCACAACACAACGCCAGGAACAGGTGTAGATCTGGACAGCAGCAGTTACCATTAAAACTACTTTGACGCATCTCACGAACGACCCCAAGCTCGACGTCTATTGACACTTTCACACTCTCTCACTTACTTCCCCTGCCCCTTGATCTTGCTCCCCGAAAAGAATCACGTTCTTCGCCAGGCGGTCGATTGGGCGGTCCCGCCCTTCCACCAGGCGAATCTGTCCACAAAAGAAAACAAACAGCAGCAGCAGCAGCAGCAACACGTTAAGGCGGGCGGAAATTGCGACATTTGGCTGGGCAGAGTGCACCCCAGTCGCAAGAGAGAGCCCGAGGTGCTCTGTAGCACGGCATCGCTGCCGTGGTGCACTTCGGCTATACCTTACCAGTGGAAAACGGGAAAACGACATTCTGGACCAACCTTGGACCTCTGCGAGGCCTGCTGCAGGTGGAATTGCTCCTCCTTCTTCTGCCAGTCGCCGTACTGCTGCTGCTCGCGTAGCCTCGACTCTTCCGCCTTGAGGCGATCCATTTCCTCGCGCTCCGCCTCGGCATCGTCTCGCCTCTTTCGCACCTTTTCACGAAAACAGACACCCCGACAAATCAATCTCTCAATTGCAATTTCCTTCGCAGCTATAAACAGTTGGGCTAAAAAAAACACCGCGATGCCATCAAGTTAGCTGGGCTTCACTGCTCGGAAGCGTTCATCAACAGTGATGGCCGACCTCGCCAACATCATCCGTAGAACAACCCATTTTTCGCTAAATGGAGCTGCGATGCCTACTTATGAGCCTCACAAAAAGCTTTTACCTTTTCGATCTCATCGATGTTCTTTTTCTGCATATCGCGCATGTCTCGCTTGGTGAGCAGCTTGTCGGCAGTTCCCTCCTTCTCCTTCTTCTTGCCCCAAACAAACTGCTCCGTCAGGTTGGAATCGCCGAACGGGTTGATATCGTTTGTGTACCTGGCAAGAATGAAAACATCACGACCAAATCAGCAAATCTCTCGAAACAGGTGGAACAACAGCAGTCGACGTGACGGCAAAGATCATACTTTTCAACCTGGAGCATAGGGAAAGGTCGCCAAAGGCGGCTACCAGACTTTGGGAATCGTCCGCGTGGAGAACACACGGCGCGCTTCGCGAGGACTGACCCTAAATGTACCGCCGCCGAAGAATTACCGTAAAACATGAGAGCGGACGGGTCGGCATGTGTCAGCGAATCCTTACCCGAAGTGAGCCGCCGTGCCGTCCATTTTGGCTTTTCGCTTCCTCTCCGCCTTTTCGTGCTCCGATTCTGCCGCGCGCCGCTGAGCTTTCTTCAGCGCCAACTTCTCCCGGTACTTCTGCTCCCGCCTGGACCACGCAACGTTTCGAAATTTGGTCAAACAAAAAGCCAAGCTAGCACGGCGGGGGCGCTGGCGGTTGTGTCCTTCGTTTCGCAACAGCGGTAGGGTTGGCTCATGCAGGCCCACCTCTGGGCAGGGACTCACATCGTCAGGCGCCGCCCCCCATTGATCAACACAGCCTGTGTTCCTCCATCTACAAACTTCTGCGGAGAAATCAACAAGGATCTGCAGCGGTTCGCACAGAAAGTGCGTGAAAAGGTATCTCTTGGAAGCGCAGAGAATGTTGGTGCTGTGTACTGCTGTACTACTGGAACTCCATTGACACAGCAGCCGAAACGCCGCGCTCCGGAAGATTGAAGAAGGCAAGTTTTTCGGTGCCGTGCTGTGCATTGCCGTAGTCTCGAGTTCTGAGGCAACGATGTGTAGTCTATACCTGGCCTCCTTAGCCCTCCTCCGTTCCTCTTCATCGACACTCGGGCTTCGGCTGCGATCGTCCCGCTTGCGGCGACTGCTCTTGCTCTGAGGTGGTGAACGCGACCTCGATTCCGAGCGAGATGGTTTCTTGGATTGCTTCTTTCTCTTGTCCTTGTCCTGCCAACACCAAGGGCATGGTCGACTTTGGAATACAATCTTCGATGATCGGTGCGTCCTGGTAGATCAGGGATACAGGCCCAACGCCCGACAAGCAAGCCAACATGTACAACAGTACATATGCATACATAGGACAGCAGTTCCCCGCTCTGTCGTAGCCAGGACAGCAGTGCTGAGAGGGCCGTCAGGGTTGGCAACCAGCAGAGGTCAACTACCATCGTCCGCTCTAGCTAAGGATGGAAGATTTTTTTACGTTGCACTCCCGCTAGTACTCGTGGCCATAGCACCGATGCACCACTGTCTCACCTGGCGCAACACCAGCACATGGGCTGTCGCCAGGCGCTGCTTCTGTGCACCCCTCTCTCCATGAGAAAATAAATAAGAAACAACGATCGAACTGACTCTTCATCGTACAACGGGATACCTCGAAGCCAAGCACGGCCAGTTCAGACAACGCCGTCTTGGTGCGATGTGGGGCACCCAGCAACAACGCGCACGTACAGATCTTAGCCTAGAGGCATCCGCGACAGCAGGGTATCTGCCGAACACACCTGCTTCTGTTTGCTAGACTTGGAAGACTTCCGACGGCCCCTCTCCTCCGAGGAAGAGGATGATGGACTCCCGTGTCGGCCACGCTTCCCCATGATTGATGTGCGCCGTGCCTATCGCTCGCAGTGTTGGTGTGCCCAGCACATACGATGGGCATGGTGTCCCCAGCGGTCAACTGCTGTGGCTGGGGGCGCAGTGGTTCATTTTTCGTAAGTGGGGGTGTGGGATAGTACGTTGTATACCACCCTACCTCTCCTGGTTGGTTTGTTGCGGAGTGCGTGATGTACGACTCGTCAGGGGGTGGCGCTTGCTAAACGATGGGAGATCGATTCTCGGAGATGTGCACTTCTCGCATTTCAACCTGTCGTGTTTGTTATGGTGGTAGGAACGCTTGTTCGTGAGCAGACACCATAGACAAAGAAATATCGATTCTGTACTCTCTCCGTACACTCTCCGTACTGCTGTACTATGAGTATCTTGTGGCGCGATCTCTTCGTCGCCGTACTGCTGACTGTACGTACACAGAGTACATCGATTGCTTTTTCTTCGTTCTCCTCGTAATTTTACTGAGCTTTGAAATTATATGTCGAACGCGGTGTGCAGTGGCGATATGGTACCAACATTTATTTTGATGTTTGGGTGCAAACCACACGCGGGCAATCCTCCTTGTTACATTGGTTGGCCAGGCTGAAATAAATGTGCACGAAACGAATACCATTGTAGCAGGCCTCCGACACGGCCCAACGATAAATAGCAACGTGTTGTTTGTTTTGTGCCTTCCAAAACATTACCCACCACCACTCAATTTCTTTGGAGAGTTGGGGTGTTTCCCAGCAGCAACCAGACATGATGCACGTAAGGAAAAACAGAGAATTCTAGACATTTAGCCGCCCCAGGTTGCCCAAATAATAAATAACCTGTTGAAAAAACTACTAGAAGCAGGTTGCGCCTTGGAATCTCGTTCGGGAGTGAACAACTTGCATCTGCGGTGGGAAGCGATCACTTGACGTGTAAATCGTGGACATACACAAGCGGGGAGCGACTTTGCTGGTCCCTTTCCGCTGCGAATCGAAGGCAAGCACCGCCAGGGGGTGGGGCGGTGGGCGCGGTAAAAATAACAAGGCAAGCGACTGTATCGGCCAATATTTTCTAAAAACGGGAATTTCTCTTGCTGTGCTATATACCCCGGCTGACAGATACATAGACTATACCGAAAGGTGGAGACTACCCCCAGAACAGATGGGACGGACACACAAAAGGAAAAACTCTTTACTCCCGACAACTCCTCTGGTCGAAGCCTGATAAATTACATTCTCTCATCACTTGACCAAGATTTCGCACTTGATCAAGTCGCCCAGCAGGGCGCCTTGCAGCTCGTCCTACATTTCGGGTGTCCGCGTCAGAACCAAGTAACGGCTTGCGTGCATCACGCACACCACGTACCCGTATCATCAGGACCATGTGCATGGTGGTTGGACGCCCAATTGTGACGCCAACCACTCATTGCATTCATCCAATGATCGTCCGAAACGCAAGACCTACTATCGGCGCACCGGAGGTGGGGGTACAAGAGTATTATCTAAAACCACAGATAACGCACACAACAGCGCATGTACAAACGCTCAGCTGCCACCATCGAACGATATACCGATGTCAAAGCCGAAAGCAAAAACCGATGATCCACCGCCGGTGGTACTGCCTGGAGCCCCGGCGCCAACCATCCCTCGTGCTCTGTCGCAACCAGGCCTGCCCAGCCCTCCCCCCTGCCTCTCGGGCAACTTTTCTTCCCCCACTTCTCCATCCGGAATCAAGCCTCGCCTTGCGTCACAACTGCGCTGAATAGCGACCATGTTCCGTACCCCGCTGCCGAACCTCCTTCGTCGCCGCTCCTCGCCGGTTATGGCAGGATCCTTCCAGCTTTCCAGCGTGAAGCCGGGCGGTGGCCGCAGCCCGGGGGGGCGTTGCCTGTGCTCGCGCTTGGGGCTCGAGTCACTCGCAGCGGCGGCGGGAAGAGAGGCGACGGCGCTGCTCGTTGCTTCCCCTCCGCCGTCGCCCACGGTGCAGTGACCGGAGAAGGTCGGGCAATCAACGACATTGTCTTGCTCAGGTCCTTCCCCGACAGGATCTTGAGATTTCTGTTCTCGAGACTGCTGCGCTTCCCCCTTGCCACCCTTTTTCTTCTTCTTCTTCTTCTTCTTCCCTGCTCCCGTCCTTTTCTTTTTCCCGCTAGGTTGCGCTCCACTCTTTTCGACCACGGTGAGAAAGTCCTGCGCTGCACGTAGGCTAGAGGCATCGCCGCTTCTTCTTTTTGCTCCGTTACTCTCCGGTACACATGTAGGAGCGCTGGCGTCTGCTGGGTTGAAATTAAAGCAGAATGATCCTCGTTCGCCAGCGTCTCCCCCCTCCTGCCCACCTCCTTGCCGCTGTTCATCTGCGTCGCTGTCTACCGCAAAGTTGAAGGCGAATCCAGTTTTCTGCTTCACCTGCAGTTTCTTCTCCAACCGTGCTCGTACCTTGTCACGAGAAAAACAGACAACACCGGCAGTAGCGAGAGATGAGCTATATGGTATGCCCATTGAGCAACCAGCGAGGGGGGGGCAGAGAGGACAATGGCTGTGGGGCTCACAACTGAAGAGGAGGGAGGCAACAAAAAGTCAACAAACCCAGCCTGCATGACACCAAAGGGGTTTTCACTTGTTGTGCGCGGTAGATGTAGAGAGGTGCGTATGCAGCCGAGGTTCAAATGCTGGGCTCCAGACAAAAACATGAGGGGATTCAAACTTGGTGCTGTGAGTGATGTATCCGCGGGTCTCGTAGCCTCTCTTTCTCATACACGTTATCTGGTAATACCATTTGATTCAAATTGCCCTTGTTTGCTCGCACTCTCCATCCGGGTGATTCTTCAGCACAACTTACACCCGTTGTCGACAAAAAACGGGGGGATGCCGAAGAGATTCAAGTTCTCGGGCAAGAACGAAAGAATGCTTCCCTGGGCAAAGTGTGGCTGTGAATTTCAAGCAGTCTTTCAATAACACGATTCTTGACTGCGGGAAAACTAACCTGCGACACAGGGACGGTTGGAATCAAATTCAGGCACACCCATCACACCCACTGCCGCGCAGTCGGGTCACTTCCTTGTTTGGGGCACCACTTGTTGCAGAAGTGTCCGATGCATACCTCTGTCTCTTCTTTCTCTTCCAGTCACTACCGTTAGGATGCGAGAGAACGCACGGGGGTGCGATCGATTTTAAAATGAATTGGTTCTTGACTTTTTATCGCACCCCCGTGCGATATCGTTACGTGTGATATCACGGGTCCCCGTGCGATACAAATCAAATTTAATGACTTGGCTCTTGGTTTTCATCGCACGGGGGGTGCGATATCGCCGGTACGTGCGATACTGAGTAAACAATAAATCCTACAGCAGCAGTACCGTAGTCCCGTGGGTGCTTTCGACGCACACCGTAAGGATGCTTTTGTCAAATATTGCAGTGTTTCAATATGTGGCACGCAATGCCGCCATACGTACATCACAACACCGTTCACGATACCGTGAAGTACCTCCTGCGCAGCGAGTGCCCCGGAGCCACTCGGGGCTCGGTATTGTTGATGTCACACCCCCGTGCGATATCACCAAACCCCGTGCGACAATCGAACTACATCACTTGGTTGTTGCTTTTTTCTTGCACGGGGGTGCGTAATCACCGGCGTGCGATATCGCCGAACCGTGTTCTCTCGCACCCTTACGGTAGTTCCCGGTCTTATGAGAGCCACACATCGACTACAGCACTACTACTGGATATACAAGTACACTGATGTAAATACTGCTTGGGAGCGAGTGACACGGCGCTGTTTCTCATCTCACCAGTCAGATCATCATAACCAACCATGGAATGTACTTTTCAAGAAATAGACGAATCACATGAAACGTCTAAAAGGTGCTCAACCCGAAACACATCACCATGCACAACTACTACTTGAAGGGTACAACCTACAGCTGCCGTACGAAACACCAAACAAATAGTCAACGGCCAAGACTCAGCTGGGAGACAATGCCACACAGCCATCTCAGCTCCCTACAGAAGATGCGTCTGGACGAGACAGGCCCCCAACCCCCAACACAGAAGAGCGCTACACAAGTTTGTATAATAGTGTGCACATCAAGAGCGGTGTACAAAACAGGCATTTTGCCATTTAAGACATTCCCACTTGAGCATTTGGACTTCCTGCAGACCCCTAACCCAATCCCCCAAGTTAGCTGAGTCTATACTTTATCCCATAGTTTGCGCACAGCAGTACTATGTAAAACTGTTGGTGCAGCCTACTGCTGTTGTACTACAATAGACTACATACAGAGGCCGCCGATTGGTGTGCGTTTTGCTCATTGGTGTGCGTTTTGCTCACCGAGCCGGATGATGAACTGCTGTCTACGTGTAGTTCTTCAGGGCCCGCGCGACTGCTCTTAACCTCCCGCCGCTTTGTGAAGTACGATGAGAGCGTGCCCGTAGTCGACATTATTTGGAGGAGAGACGCAGAAAGAGACGTGTAGACGTGAACGCGAACACGCGAACGGTAGGTGGGTTTTGGGTTTTGGGGTTTGCGGTGTGGTTCTCTTCCCAAGCGCCGGGACTGTAAAAACCCGTCCTATAGGCGCGCTCCGCGACCAAGAAATTTCCGAACTGAAAAAAATTCTCTTTTTTTCGTTTTCGTATTTCTCTCTTTCCCAAAAAACGGATCTCTCTCACTGCCTACAATACAAGTATGCATGCACCACACTCCCACTATCGGCGCTTTGGCTTCGCAACCACCTCCAGCTCAATCTCGGTACCGCTCGGTGAGTGCTACTGCTGTGTTGCATTGGACCGTACGCATGTGTGTGACGTACACATGGCTGTTGCAGATGGATGCGGTGGGCAAGAGCTCACCCAATCAAATGTACACCAGATGGTACAAATACGAAACTGAACCGCACACCCTCTGTCCGTGGTGGAAGAGGGCTGCTGTTGTGCAGCTGTAGCACTGCACATTTGACAACCTCTGTCCTCGCCCTCTTGGCCAAGGCTCATTCACTTCGCCATCGAATGTGCTAGCAGAAAACTTGGTTTGGTACAAACGCGGTCGGTTGCAGGTTGTGCTGCGGCGTTTCCCGCCGCTGTCCTCGGTCCTCGGGCCTTCATTTAGGGCGTACGAATTGACGGTCGCCACCGTGCGTAACTGACGAACGAAACAACGAAACCGTGCGGTGGCCGCCAAAGACCCGCACTCGCAAAAGTCTCGTTAGCTAGGAGCATATGTAGTGGCTCGCCCCTCACGCGCCACGAACACTACGCCTATGCAGTGTGAGCGCCTATGCAGTGTGGGGCGGAACGGCCGACTCGATGCCCAAGAGAAGTCGAGCCTCTAGTCTAGACTACTCGTGATGCCAAGCTACTTATTTTGTAGCATGCAACAGCAGGTGTACACGTACATAGACAACATAGCATCCGTTCTCGTTTTTCTCCATTTCCCATAGACGCTGTCTCTTGTAACTGCTGCTCCGTGCCACGTGCCACCGCAGGTTTCCCTCTTGCTCGGGACCTGAGGGGAACACCACCACGCTTGCTCGCTGTACCAAATACCTACTGAAATGGACGTGATGCACCAAAGGGCGCGAGAAGAAGACTGGATGCCGGCCGGCAGGCCACCGAGCGGGCGACGGCGCAGCTTGGGGAACCGGCGGTGCATCCTGCGGGTGAGTTTAAAATGCGTCAATTTTGGATCTACCGGGCCGGCTCGGTCGTCAACACCTATTTTCAGCAAAGGCCTTTCAGGGTCCAAACGATCGAGCACAGGCTCTTCTAAACGATTAACGAACAGTCTGTATGATTACAGCGCATTACAGTAGATTTCTGACAATACTGTACATGAAAACGGTTGTGTGTGGTGCCGGCGGCTGAGCCCATTATTTCATTATTTCCAAGGGTTTACTCGGTAACGGTTTTTTAGGTGGACAGGTTTTCGGCGGTAATGCCATTTGGCCGTAATTGTTTTGGCGATAGGCGGTAATGCGTTTTTTGGCGGTAACGACTTTGGCGGAGGTAGTACAACCATTTTTCGGCGGTAATTTTTCGGCGGTATTGCCATACGGCGGTAATTGTCTTGGCGATAGGTGGTATCGCGTTTTTTTGGCGTTATCGCGTATTTGGCGGCATCGCGTATTTTGGCGGTAACGAGTTTGGCTGAGGCAGTAAAACAAACAATGGCGGTGAAACGGCGGATTACTGGGACCGCCCACCACGGCGGTAGTTTCACGGCGGTAATGATTGTCATTGCGTATGGCCACAATTTCAAGCGACACCAGCGGTAATTTTATCGGCGGTAATTTTTATCGGCGTAAAAATTACCGAGTAAACCCTTGATTGTTTCTGATGCCGTTTTCCTTTTTTTTCCTTGAATGTGGTCCTCGATTTCTTGTGGCTCTAGCTGAGAGAGCGGGCCGGCACTGCTGGTGTTTTTGCGGTGGACAGCAGCGGCGTCGTGGAAAATCAGCCAGTTGCCTGTCAACCTGTCTCTTTCTACATGTGGAATTGCTTTATTTTCATGTATGCATAGGACGTTCCAGCAAGAGTACCCTTCTTGCGCGTGTGTTTCGCACAAGTACAAGTGACACTCACATTTGGCGGGCGCTGGCGAGCTCTAACCATGAATATTTTTATGCGGTTGTTGGTTGAAATGGTACGTCTGGACTAAAGGGAGAGGGCTTATGCAGAACGGAATCCGGCGAGCACGACATGGATACACGGGGAGCGCTTGCCAGGACCGAAGAGGCGGCCTTGAAGGACCTCGTCGCGATATTCAAGGTAGGTACTATTCTACAAGACGTTCTGTTTTTGTGTTTCGCCCTCTCTTGCTTTGAGTTGCTGCCTGTATGCATAGATCGTTCGTTAGACCCATGTTTATGGTCTCAAAATCGTGGAAATTTATCTTCAAATGTTAACAAACATTTGCACGCGAATATCTGCCAGAGGAACATTTGAGTATCGCTTTTATGCGCAAAAATATCTTATCGTGTGGTTTTCTCGGAATGCATCAGAAGTGCGGCGGGAATCGTGGTCTACTGCTACCAAACGATTTGTGACAGACAAACCAAATGCGTCATGGAAACTGAATGTAACGAGCTCGCAAAGGGCTCCCGACAACCCTTGATGCACTGAGCTGATGCTGTGCCTGCCAATATGTGGCGATAGCGCTCCGGGCGTGCGAGAGAAAATGTTCTCGGTGTCAAAAAGAGACCAAAACATGCGTCAGCGCTTCCCAACGGCAAAAAGTCGGCCGCTTGAGAGGAGACGTGAGTACAAAACTATCCAGCTCTCGCCCGGTAGACCATCGATTCATCTTTTGTCTTCTTGGGTATCTTCTCCATCAACGACTCTCTTCCTGTTGCGCGTGGGTTGGTAGTGGCCGTGCTCAGTCGGCAGGGAGGCACATCGTTGTGCGCGCAAAGTTGTGGACTTGTTCCCCCGTCCCAAAAAAGATTTTTTCAACACATCGAGTTCACAGCGACGAGCCTCCCTGCCTGTTGAGTACGTCCACTGCTGAACCACGCACACCCGGATGAGAGCCATTGATGGAGAAGACACCCAAGAAGACAAAACATGAATCGATGGTCTACCGGGCGAGAGCTGGATAGTTTTGTACTCACGTCTCCTCTCAAGCAGCCGACTTTTTGCCGTTCTGGGACACAAACCACGTTTTCTCAGTGCCCTCCAAACCACCCCTGTCTGTTTGTTTTTTTGTGCGCGCTTGACGAGCTCCCGCCATGTATCAGCCGGCAAAACGTTGACACGGTGACTCTAGGGTTGTCCGGATCCCTCTATGAGCTTGCTACGTTGAGTGTGCGCTGCGCAGTGGTTGGTGTTAAGGACGGAAGGGGCAGTCGGCTACTAATCTCGCCGCTCTTGGAAAAGATTTTCGCGACCTGCCCCATTTCAAAATGTTTGTCGAACATTTTGTCGAACGAGCGACTTTTGCCCCATTTGAAAATCTTTGGGAAGATTTTGCCAAAGATTTTCTCCCATATACAAGTGAATCAAAATCTTGTTCCGCAAATCTTTGAAAATTTTGACATTTTCGCATAGATTTGGCGACCATAAACATGGGTCTTACATCGTCGCCATCAATTTTATTTGATATTTTTTTTAGAGTAAGTTAGCCTGTGACCACGGAAGGGAATCGTCTACGTCAAGTGTTACATCAGGACGGACGGAGGAAGGTAGAGATCGGAACGGTTTTAACATGAAGACAACAACAGCACCTGTCGCGTTGGCCCTTCTGCGACATCGTCGGTCATGCCGCTTACCAACCAAGGGTTTCCCAGTAGACTTTGCAAACGTGGGGGAGTGGCAACTAGCTCAACTTCGAGTAACGAATACGACGGGGTCGCACGAAGGATACGAAGAAGGGAGTTCCAACCCACGAACTAGGTAGAACTTGTGCTGGTATCGCGAGCTGGTGGGTAACAATCTTACACCCGGCAACACCCCACACCCACACTCTGCATTGCTCCACAGGTAGAGAGCGAGGAACATCTCCCAGTATCGTTCGACGTGCACCGGCTTTTGGAACTAGAGGAAGGCGAGCGACGGTCTTTCGTGAAAAACATGCTCCAAGCCTACTCGTCTTGTACCGATGCGACCCCGATGTCAATCGACAGTTTCATCGACAAGTACCTGGAGCAAACGAGAATTCTTGCTGCGCTCTTGGCGGCCGGAATCTGAGTCACATGACCGACAACCGTTTTTTGCGAACGAGCGCGGTTATGAGACACCTGTTTTGTGGTTGTGATGTATGTATTTAAAATATGTTGATGTGGGTGCACCGACGTGCCACCGGGAGTGATTGCCGCGGGCCGTGCGTGGTTGTCCTTGGGACAGCTTGTGCTGGACTCGAGGTCTTGATTGTAGTCTGTATATCGAAGTTGGTGGTGGATCGCTGTTTGAGGTTTCACACAGCAGCACCACCATTGTGTTCAGTATTTTAGTCGGCATCTATAACTTTGTGTTACGTATTTTTGTCGGCATTCACAACTTCGTGTTGAGTACTTTAGTCGGCATTCACAACTTTGTCGTTTTTAAATGTATGTTGGGCCCATGGGCTATAGCTTCAAGCACTTGAGCGCGACGCTCCCCCCTGTTCCGGCAACCTTGTATTAATAGCGTGTTGGGAAGCCTTGCTAGGCGTGCTCTTGTTGGTGTTTTCTCACCGCCGAGTGCGTATACTTTGGCTATTTGTCTTGCGCAATGAATGGTGCATGTAGATGACCGATCCCTCTAAGTTTCCTGGACTTTGTATGGTGTCGATCGATAGTGGTACCCCGTGTCCACCGAGTGCAGTAGCTCATGTCCGACGAGGGCGGCCAAAATAGGTAGGGCGGGTATTTATGTATGTATTCAACGTTGTTCGGGGGTGACGTTCAACCGCAAGTAAGGGATCATCATCATGTCATGTGTATGTAGTGTGGCGGTATGTAATTGCTTCTAATTCTCCTGTAGACGCTCTTCTGTATTGGCGCGATGTACATGGGACTGTCCGGTGTATGTAGCGTGAGAAACTCTGGGCCTGTTGTTTTTTTACCCGTCGATAAGGTGCGCAAGTACGGGCATGCGAGGAGATGCCTCTCCGTTGTTTCATGGCATCCGCCATTTTTGTTAGAGGGTGTGTTGTCGTTCCCGTTGTCTTCACATCGAAAAAAAGTTCAGGTCTCCGCCGAGTACCTTCTGACACTCGCACCGGCCCGCCCGACACGGATGCCTTCCGTGGTCGTATACATGTGCCAACTACCCCGAAAGGGGCGCACACCTAGAACAAATCCAAGAGAAGAGAGGGTCCCGAACAAAAAAGCGACCCGAAATGCGATAATAGAACTACAGAAACGGACCCAAACAGCAGTCAGACGTCGCCACCGGCGACGTATCGGACAACGAGAACATTTCAGAGCGTATCGCTCCCGCTCGGCACGCGATGCCAACCGCATACAAAGCAAAACGAATGACTTGAACCCAAGATCACCAATCAAGAAAAAACGTTTAACCGTATGATTCTATCCATACATGCCCACTAGGTCGGGGGGTCACCGATGAGGTTGCATTGGCCCATGCCATTCCCCACACCTTGATAAAAATGAAATCTATGTCTAGCTTGTCCTACAGCAGAGCAGCACAGAAAATTGTAGAAACCCGGCTTGCCTATCTTCCCAGCGTTGTGCTTGAAACCCTGCAAGGGAGTGATCGGATGGGGTTTTCTCTAGCCTAGCTACATAGACTATCTTTCAAGCAGGTCGTTACGCCCACCTCCCTCGGAAGCAAACATATTGAGATATTTCTTCTCTTCCATCGCCAACAACATGAGCCCAAGGCTGAATGAATGTCAAAAGCCTTCCAACAGGAAACAAACTACACACTTGAGAGCGCAGACGAAAAATGCAGGGGTAGACCGACGTGAGTGGGCCCAGGAGTTGAGCGAGAATATCCATACCACGAAGGAACGAGGGCTCTACGCTTTGGCCACGTGCCTCTCTGACAAAGTCGAGGTTATTATGGGACAAGCTGCATCACATGCCCTTCCTTGCGGTTTAGGCTTACTGAGCCAGCTCCAGCATGATCTAGCGTCCTTCGTGTTACAAGACAATGTACGAAAAACTCAACACATCAACCTACCTACAAAAGGCCGCTTGCACTACTATCCACTTTCTTGCAAGCGCACGATGACATGCCATCAAGCCGTGAAGGGCACCGGCGCGTGCGATTGTATGTGGCGTGGCGTGTCGACTGTTGGCACGCTGCGGCACGGTGTTACGGTTTGCACGACATCCGAGCCAAGGCCACGCTTGACCTCGAGCACGACCCTTTCAAAAAACAAGTGACGCATCGAGCTAACACTAAGGCACTTGAGGCCGCGGAAGGCGTCGCCGGTCACGTATGTCCGCCCGTGCATACACTCATGCCTCGTACCCACTTCCCTGCCGTGCTCTTATTCACACACAAATAGCACGGCGGTGGTGTCCAGCAGCGTCGCCTCGACCGCGCAGGATTTCACTTGAATGCGCGCCCCGGAGGCCTTTGGGGGCTCATGCGTGGCACCTGTCTATAAGGATACATATCGCCTGGTACATTATATCAGCGTCTTCTAGCCTGGACGTCTCAAGCCCGACATGCTCGTCACCCGCCGAGATCCACACAACGCGCACCTGGCCGACCAACGCGAGAAACCCGCCGAGTTATACAAGATGGATTTGGTAATCGCCCCGGGATTACACGCAGGAGAGAAGGAAGAGGAACTCTGCACCACGTCCATTCTTATAGACGTAACAATCGTCAACCCATCCGCAGGTCGAAGCATCGACAAGTCGATCCAAAAGTCAGGATCCGCCCTAGAAGATCGAGCTGCAAGTAAGGCAAATCACTATGCGGGAATTTTCAACCCGTCTAGATCTACCCTCCATAGTGCTGCTGTTTCAACGACTGGTGGTCTTGGCAAAGGCACCAATCGACTCATCGTTGCTATCGCCAACCACTTGGCGCACGAAGCCTTTTGCAGGAGGAATTTTGACGATGAAAGAGCCTTAGTTCGCCTGAAAGCTTTTCATACTAAATAACAGGATTCGGAGACGGTTTACCTCTGAGCTAGCTCGTTTTCTGTCGATGCGAACTCGCGATGTGTTCAAACGTCATGGGCTACTGATCGACCAACTTCCACCAGGGCCAATCGGTTGGGATCTCTGCGACAACGATAGTAGTGAGGGTAATTCTTTAAGGAGTGACGGAGACGAAGGAAAGGAATAAGGGAAGAAAGGAGGACGAAGACGACGATAGAGGCGGAAAACATGGAGGAGTGGAAGAGAGCAAAGGGTTTGAGCCAGATGACCTTCCCCAAAACAAAGAACGTAGGGCTAGGGAAGAACTGCCCAGAGATTCTTGTCAAAATGAGGATCAGAATGATGGTGGCGAAAACAAGGACGATAATGGTGAAAGTACTCCTAGACGAACTAGAGTACAAGGTAATAGCCTTGGTAGACGCGTCCAGTTTTCTTCTGTTGCCACCGCTTCTGTCTTTGATCCGAAGGATAGTTTAGCCTCCTCCATGCTGCCCCCTCACGGGGTCCCAGTTCATGGCAGATAGAAGTGTTTTGTGTTTTCAACCGCACTAAGACTGACGTCTTTTCATTGGTCAGCCGGTTAGCGCGGTCGATGCTAATAATAAAAACACACACACTGACGTCTTTCCATTGGTCAGCCGGTTAGCGCGGCCGATGCTAATAGTAAAAACACACGCGAATGGAGGGGTGTTTGCCGTTTACACGGATGGATACACAACCGTTCATTTGGTGTTTGTTGTATTATAGTGCAAGTGTCCAAAAAACACACGCACGCGCCACACGCGAATGCTGCTGAGACTAACATGCTTCGCACGGGGGCAGGGTGGGCGGGTGGTTGGCTATTTAGTCTAAATCATCGAGTGTTTGGATCGTGCGGAATATGGGCCTTTGAAAATGATCGCGTTTGTTTCAGGAAATACGCACTCTGCTTTGCTTACCCGTTTATCCCGCCATCGTTCTCCACGACTGATACGATCTACCACCGCCATAGAGACACCCACCCACGCCTTCCCGCGCGACAGTCGCGGCGAACACGACAGGGAGGGAGGCTCTGGCTGTAGTGCTTCATAAAACGTTGGTTGCGCACCCCCTTCCCACACAAGCATGCCCCGTTTTTCGGGTCACGGGTCAGGGTCCCCAATCTTCCCGTTTTCTTGTGCACAAGAGACCACATTCGAATCGCGCGAGGGCTAGTTCTCCGCGCTGATACAGCTCATCGATACAGTCACTAGGAAGCCGACTTGATTAACACACTTACTTACCAAATGCCGTGGGAGTACCATTAAAGATTTCTGTAAAACTGAAGAGGTTAACCTGGCACCCCTACGAAGCCGGGGAGCGTGATGCAACGCGATTTGTTTTTCTCCAACCACAACCAATTGACTCGATTTTACGCATTGTTTGGGGAACGATAAGCGCACATTTGAAAGGAGAGAGAAGCAAACAATACCAACTACGCACATCATGTGACACAACAAAAGCGTAAAACGCTTCTTCCTTGAGCGGTACATCTCCGCTCGTCTCTACAATACCGGGAGTTCTCTGTCGGGCTTATCACAAACCATGTGAACGCTTCCTTTATAATGCTACAACGTGGTACAACCTACCATCACCAATAATTTATTTGCGAACAATCACATAAAAAAACAAACACAACAAGAAGACCAAAAGACATCAAACGCTCCTCGAATAGACTACAAAGTCTACAGTGTTGCAGACAACGAACAGCAGGGAAAAGGAAAGCAAAACCAACAAGAACAGGAAATCATAGTGCCCGTTGTCTCCCCCAAAAGCTGATGGCTGAGAAATTTCTTCTCTTCCATCGCCTCCCGTGTGGGGCCGTGTGGAACTACTGTAGTCCGACCACGGAGCAGGATGTTCATGCTTTCCTCGCTCTCTCTTGTTTAAGCTATCTTGTCTAACCTTACATGCACACCGTCCGGCCTTGAGTCCAGCACACGCCAGACCAGCTCAATTGCACTGTTCAAGTGACCACATGGGGCAAAACATGACGACGGAAGAACCCTTGCATCTCATCACGCCGTGGTAACACCGCGTTTGACCGCGCTATATATACCACACACGACTACCTCCAAATACCATCAACACTGAGTCACGAAACCAATACAAGGCGAGCACCACTTAAACGCCACAATCAAGTAAACCCGAAGAAGCTATCCAACCCACCCTCCATGAAGCCGTGGAGCGTCCGGTATCGGTGTTGGTTTTCGCACACAAGGCCTACCGCCCCCCATGCCATCGAGGCGCGAAAAGGGTGTCGCATAACGAATGTGAGGGCAGTCAGTCAAAACAAGTGCAGCCTTGATATCGTAATTGCAATACCAACGGTTACGCTCTATAAAACACAGACAGCAATACAAATGAGCCGGCCGAAATGAACGAGGCGCGGCCCAGCCTCAGACGTAAATGACACCACAAAACACGACATGACAGCCGTTCAGCACCGACGGATCCGGGTACAATTCAGACAGTGCTGAAAATGAGCAGAGCTGGATAGATGGTCCGCAAAAAATAATCTGAATCCATCTCAGATTTCTTTGCTACATTACAGCAGAGTCTCATGCTCGTACCAAACTGAAGCAAACGCACATACATCGTACATACCATCACAACAATCCAATCCAATCCCATGCCAAGCTGAAAACATATACTTCGTACACGATGCATGGTGTTCTCTGTCTTTCTTGCCTCAGCTGCGATTCAGACCACAAACCAACACAAGCTCCAACCTTGTCTGTCCGCGCAGTCAGCAACCAATTTAATTTACAAATCCGCGAGTGAGCGGACGACGCACAACCAAACAGCCACACACCGACAGCTTCGCCGTAAGCGCTGGTGCATTCGTTACCAAAATGTGCACCAGCACCGCATTCGTCGAAACCGAACAACAAACACACAAAAATTTGCGAACCTCACGGCAGATGATGGCAACCAAACATACAGCAACGCCCAAACTACCAGTGCGTACTTCCGAAATCGCATTGAGCGCTTTTCCCTTTCCCCGCCCGCCACAACACTGATAGAAAAGGCCCGCACCACTCACTCAAGCTTCCCCGTCCCCCCCTGCCAGCCTAAATCCATGAACAACCTGCACACGCCTTGGCTCTTGCAGCGCTACGACACCCCCCCCCCTGCGTGCTCTTCGCCCCGACGCCTGGGATGTTCCTGCCCGTGCCTTTCCCCCTCCCCGCCCGTGTGTACTCTTCCGAACCCGAGAGCCTGGAACGGCAGATCCCACGGAGACAGACCCAACTCCGCTCCCCGTCGCTGCTTGCCTCGACGTCTTGGGTGCGGTGGTACCATCGCCTCCTGGCGCACCGTCGGGAGCCGGCAGTGACGTCACCGGCTGGCTCCAAGCCCGCTGCACCGGTGCGATAACGCCGGCCCGGGGGCGGCGTTGGCCCCACGCCGGCATGATGCCGGTGGCGGCGGGGGCATCCGCAGGCAGGGACGGTGCGAGTGCGGCGGAGAACGGCCGGTCTGCTTCCTTCCTCGTGTCCTTGAGGATGCTGTCGAAGGTGGGGCGGCGGTGGGGGTCTTGGTTCCAACAGCTCACCATCAACCTCCTGGTGTTTGGGGGTTGGGTAGGGAGAGGATAAGGCCACAGCCGGCTTGATGCACCAAGGGTTTGCGAGGCCAATTTCGTGCAAGGAGGCATACGGATGCAGGGTGGGACCAGGGAGTGCGTGGAGGGCGGCGGCGGTGTGGTTCGCTGCCCCGCCAGTAGGCGAGTCACGTGCGGTCGTTGCAGAAGCGCCGATACAACTACGAACTTACTTGGCCATGGCGGTGCACTACTCGTCGTCTTCACACGCAGCAGCTGTTACCTCGAGCCGAGGACACCTTCCACCCTACCAAAGCGCATACGGCGGTCATCAACCCCGAAACATGCTCCCCGACGACCACTCTTTTCAAGAATCACGTCGTGATGATTTTGCTGCGCCCCACCTGTAGAAGCGGCCGCACTCTACCGGGATGTCGAGACGCTCCCCCTTCCTTAACAGCGGGGGCAGGTCATAAATTCGCACGCCTGCCCACGGGGTTCGTCCTTCACCGCAGACGATGTCCCACACGACTACCCCGAAGCTGGTGAGACCGGGGGGGGGGGGGGGGGCCCCCAAGGGGAAAATCCGGGAAAGTTTCAAGGAAATTTTTGTTGTACCCCATCCCGGAAAAAGGGGGGCCCATTGGGGGCCCTGTTGAAAGGGGGGGGAAACCGGGGGGTTGGTTTAACGGAGGGTTTTGGACTGAAAGAAACGGGGGCCCCGAAAACCTACAAAAACGGGGTTTTTTGAACCCCCCCGGAAAAGTTTCCCCCCCCCCCCTTCCCCTTTAAATGGGGAAAACTACCAAGGGAAAAAAAGGGCCGCCCCCCCCCCCCTCCCTTTTTAAAACCAAAAAACCAAAATTTTCATTTTTTCCCCCAAAAAAAGGGGGGACTTTGGGG